GTCACCGGCACCGAAAACAATTAGAAGAATTGAAGTAAACACTTATTCCTCCACATTTTTTACATTTTAACGCACTGAAGGCTGTGAATTAATAAAATGCGAAAAAGAATGTAATAAATATGGACTAGAAATTGGTGTACTGAAGTAGTTGTTGTGGTGAAAGCATACGGCCAATCAAAAAGCTATGCGAAAGCTCGGCATCGACATTTTGTGCGGTAGTAGCTTTTACCGAAATTCTACTGCAGATCAGTTAAAAGCAGTAATGGACACAGTGCTTTTTTAAGCTATACATTATGTATGTTAGTTACGACTGAAATGATAGGCTTTATAAAGCTTTCTTTAGATCAGCGATGAGCAGAGAGAGCTTTTACTCTGCACGCCCCTATAAAAAATATATAGAAAGCTCAAAAGAGCTTTGCCCGCGAGCAAGACAGTGCCCATCAGTGCTTTAGATTTTATAATGATGAACTCTTAGTAAAAGCTCTCTCTGGTCTTCGCTGGTGTGTAAGCGTGCAAAGAATAAAAGCTCTCCCTGCCCATTACTGCTTAAAAGCAATTAAGAAAATGAATTTACTTATAAAAAATAAAAATAAACGTACATATTTTAAAGTTTTACGATGAAGAAAATGAACACTCCATTGATAGTCACAGTTTTGTGGATTTCATATTCATGAAATAATTATTCTAAATTTCTGGCGCTGTAATTGTAGTACCTCTCGAAAACTAAAACAAAAATTAAGCTTTAGATCTTTTTTACCCTCAGCTCCGTATCGCAGGTAAAATTTGCCCATGCGAGAACAATTTATTTTTATAGTTTTTAAGTGTAATTTAAAAAAAAATTGCGCTTTGACAGTGAAGCATAAAAAAATAGCTGTTTAGAAACATTATGTGGAGCTGAGGATTAATAATCTATATGTAAATATTTAGTAATAGTCTACTAAATTACAGTGCAATTTTTATTGACATTATCGATTTTATAATTTGGAGTAGATCGAAAATTTAAGCATAAGTAAAACGGTAAAATTTCACAGTAACAGAAGTTATAACTGCGAAGGCGTGGGACTTAAGATGCAAATGCTAATTAAAAACAAAAACGATTGTCTTATATGTATATGTATAGCCCAAATTTTTGTGATTTATATTTTCAAAAAGAGTTTTTAAAGTTAAATATCTTCGCCAAATAATCGAATAAAATTTTTTTAAAGAATAAAATTTAACAAAAAATTTTAATGTAGGCAGAAAGATAGATAAACATTAGTATGAGTTGCCCCCTGCTCTTCACAACAGTTCGGCTAACCCAAAGAACCCCAAAAAAGTTTAGAAGAGTTGTAGGGGTGGCCATATAAGGCATAGGTTTCTTTGGCACTTCCTGGAAACGACACACAGCCTGATAGCGTAACTACCTCTGCCCGTAAAAATATTCGCCCTCTAATTGGCATCGATATCTCAGCTCTAGAAGCCCTGACTCCTGCTGTTATGCTCCCGACAGTTTTCAAACCGTCTAAAGACGCTTTAACAAAATTCCGGCAATCCATGCTACTTTGCTGCAAAATTCAATACTGAACCTCTACTCAAATGCTATAACATCTTTGGGGTGTACCGCTAGCAGGAGCTGAGAGTTTGGTTTCTCCACATTCCTCAGTGCGTGCTATGGCATTTTCTCTGCCAAAATTCTCTCTAGCGAATTTAAGTAGAGTTCGTTTTTCCGTGTGCTCTACGCACACGCAAACACATGCCAGACGTTGAAGCTTTGTGAGTGTCTGTTTGACGGTGGATAGGGTAGTTCTTGTGACCCGAACTACCGCCCCTGAAATTACCATACGTTGTACTATCACACATGCACATCCATCTTATGTTGCTCGGGTTGCATCCCCAGCCCTTGCCTTCCGGACGTTTGCGCATCATTAAAGCTTTTTTGAATCTAGAAATGGGTGCGCCTAAGCGCTGTTTTCATAGGGATTTGTTAAACCTGGTCATTCCTAAATAGTTCACTTCACTTGTATCGCTGTCCGGAAGGGCAGATTGGTTGGTTGGGTCCTTTTATTAAGTATAAGGTCTCTTTGAATTATTTCGAAGAGGGACATGTCGAAATTTCTTTCAGCGATTATGAATTTCACCAAAAAAAAAACTAGAAAAATTTGTTTTCGTTTTGCTTTATAAATTTTGGGAATATTTGTTCACGTGAAATTCGCGATAGCGCCGAATATTTCCCCCCCCCCCAGCTGTAGTAGCGCTGGCCGGATTCCATCCACTCCAAGATAATAATAATAATTATAAAAATTTGTTAGTTAAGAAGTAACCGGTTCCACTTTATATATATGGAAACTAAAATTTTTTTAACTTACAACGTGTTGTTAGTTATATTCTAATCATAAATATATAATTATCACGAAAATCATTTGTTATGCATAATTTTACTCCAAATTAATTTATTTTTTTAGTTTTTTCGTTGTAATACTATATTTTAGTTTAAATGTGCTCTTATTTGTAAATAATATGAAATAGTGGCGTTATTTATATACATACATACGTATAGTATAAGTTTATTTAAGCTTATCCCTTTAATTAATTTTTTATTGCAGTAAATTAAAATAATAAGTAATAAAAATTTAAATACACAAAAACTTGAATTGGCTTAAATCAAAACCCTTAAATAAAAAGCTGTGAATTCAGTTACGGCCAAATCCAAAAAATGTTTTTTGTACCTAAAAATTTTTTTAAACCCTCAGAAACAAAAAGAAGTTTACTGAATTCACACTATTTAATGCACTTTCACTACAAACTCCGATCATGTAAAGTAGTCGCTCCGGTTCCGCGCGAGTAAAATTGGCAGCACTCACAAGTCACAACAAAGAAACATAGAGAAAACATGCACTTCAGGTATTAAAAAAAAAAACACTATTTTTCTATGCATCAAGTAAATATGTAGTGGTAGCTATTAAGTAGTAGAATTAATACATCGGCTGCACTATTTGATTTATGTAGTTATTAAAAAGGTGTCGGTAGCTTACTACAAACTCTATAGGCTTCTTTGCCCCTTTGCCCTGTCATCGGTGACTGTAGAGATAACACACACTGCAACCTCATTTTCACAACACTTAACCAAATCAACCAAAAATACTTAAGACTTTACTTTATTTAAAAAACCAAAAATGTAACCATTTTCTCTTCTCTCCAACCACATAGCCGACTACGCTCAACGCTTGCCACCTTATGCGCCACCACATCCACCACCAACAAAACCGTCCATGATTATGCCTACCGCAGCGCCACGCGCACATCTTCCGCCCACTAATAAAAAAAATAAAAATAATAATAATAACAACAACAACAGCCCACATCCATTTTACCTTCTTGCACATAAAGCAAGTCCGACATTCGCGTCCAGCATTGTTGGCGATAATAGACCAGCACTGCCGCCATCAAATGTCAAACGCATGGCGCATGAACTACAAAATATGCCAAATTTTCACCTGCCTAATGCTGCGCAGCGTACACTTAATAAACATTTGGTCGCACCGCCAGTCTACACAGCGCCCGATGTTAGTCACAAGCGACCAATGCCTACACCTGCGTCCACTTTTGCACGCCTAGCGACACCCGAAGTGGATGAGAGTGAATTTGATATGCGCGGCGCTGTTGCATTGCCACCCGATACGGGTTCAGATCATTCGGGTGGTAGTAATGAGACTGTGAAGATCGATGATGTTATATTGTATGCCGATGCATGAGGAATGCGGAATGAGGGGGTGAATGAGTTGGAGTTGGCATCCGAAAAGTATGCTTAAGTGAAATGTAGTATATCAAAGAGTGCAAACATTTTGCGTTTAGTGTCGATTTACAAAGGTGTTTCCTTAGCATACTTTCTTGCTTACTAATTAATTCCTTGCAGTCAGGCAAAGCTGTTTAAATTAGTTGTGAAAATGCCGTATGCCTTTTGTTGAATGTTTTCATTGAATGAAACAATTTTCTGTAGTCACATAGTATTAAGATTATTAGTTTAAGAAAAGCTAAATTAATGTATGGGTATATGTGTGTGTACGACTTTATAGATTAACGGCGCTATTCCCACGCCAATGACTCATCGCATGACTAATGTTTTGACTATTGCGCCTAAACTTAGGCGACGAATATAAACATTAGAGAGAATCTCGAATTCTTGCAAAGCCCTTGTACGGTGCGCGGATTGCTAAACTTTGCAAAACTTCGATAATCCTCCTATTTTACAATTGTTATCCAGAGCGCTGGAAATACAGTTGCGACATAGTTTTAGGCGCAATAATTAAAGCAATAGTCATGCGATGAGTTTTGTCATTGGCGTACGTATGGGGCTGAGAGAGTGTAATCCAATCCAGAAGAGATAAGTTCGTGTTTTCAAAACGAATTGGAAATAGATTTATAATTCAAACAAAAAACCACATTTTTCAGAACTCTAAAATAATGGTTAGATATACATATCTCTGCGCTTTCCTATGTATTTGTCAAACGTGGTTTACCGCTGAAATGTGGCAACAGAGATTTTTTAAGTCACAATAAATTATCACAAAATTTTTTGGCATATATTCCGGTTACTTGACTCTCCCTAATATGGTTTGAACGGAGGTGGTGCTTATTATAACTGTACGACACTCAAATGTTGACAAGTTTTGAGAATTTATTTTTTTACTATTTAATTTTAATTATATTTTTATTAAAATATACTTAGTTCATTCTCGCAAGAAAAACGAAAAATTCATATAAAATTACGCACAAGAAATGGCAAGCAAAGTTTCTGCTACCGAAATTTCTTCAATCAAATCTACAGAAACATCACAGTAACTTTTCAAGCAACAGAAATTATGAAAAAAAAAATTCTTGTTAATTTTCTTGAGAATTGCAGACAGCTCTTATAACAAAAATCACATAAATCTAAGTTTCAAACTTTGTAAAATAAATTAGAAAAATCAACAAATTTTAACACTTTTCATTCCAAATTTTTGGGTGTACAGTTTTATAGTCCATTCTAGCATATAAAAAAAAAGTTTTAAGTAGCTTCAAAATACCGTTAATTTTTAGGATTTTTTCAGTCTGAATGAATATGGTGATGAAAGTTTGTTGATATTTTTGGTTTTTAATTTACAAGTAAATGAATGAATATGGCGAAATTTCGATGAAACTTTGTTGATATTTTTTGTTTTTAATTTTTGTACAGCCTGGAACTTAGATTTATTTGGTGTGTTTTATAGAATGAACTATATTTTGATAAAAAAAAACTTTCCACTATGTGGTTGTCGTTTAGTTATTATAAGCAGTGCATATATACATAAATACTTTAAAAACATATTCGGGAAAAATTTTTCTAAATATTATTATTATGTATTAACCTTCAATTATTTAATAATTTCCTGAAACTTTGTAAATGTTTCTAAAAAAAAGTACTTAATCTTAGGAATCAAGTTTTAACTTTCTTTTGTCTCCATAAGGTAAAGTTGACCTTTGATAAGTAGGCGTGCCGGGACTTCATACGTTTTCTACAGTAAAACCTGGATAAGGTGTTTGCCTAATTTTCATTAAATCTATAGGTTTGTCTTTTTTATATATTCTGAAAGCCCCGATAAAAGAGTAAATACCAAATTTAACGCATGAGCCTTTACACCCTTTAGAAACATATCGGAAATTCGCTAAGTGGAGTCGAGACTTCTTTGCGCTGCAGAAACCAAGCCAACCGTTAGTGTAATTTTGAATTATGTTCCGAATTTAAAGCTTATCAAGTTTTTTCGTTGTATCTAAGTTCATTTTGTTGAGGCATCACTGTACTATATACGTGCATATGTATGTTTATGTATGGACGGGCACTGGGAAAACCCTGTTTCTGTCCAACCCATTTTGTTGTTTCAATAACTGCAGTTTCGAAATTAACCCATATAGGGAAGCCCAGAAAGTTTTTTTAATATGAAAAAAAATTTAAAAATGTCTCGTTTAGAGTGAGACTTTATACAAAGTGCCAGTAAATGTGTATTATACAGCACAAATATAAAAACAACATCACAAAAATCACATAAATACTAATTTACATTTTTTACTTTTTTTTAATTATTTGATCCTACACTTTTAGCATATCTCTCTGTTCAATTTAAAGGGTCCAAACTACGTATTTCAATTTTTTTTTTTAAGTGTACGTCTATATTTTACACTATACTAAGTATTTTCTTTACTAATATAGATACTACATATTCGTAAAATATTTGCCAAATCTCTTTATGAGTAATACGCATACATATGTATGCATGTATGCACATATATGTGTATGTATATCTACATACAGTACATAAATAAAAAGCATATACATATATGTATGTAAGTATATTAAGCGAACACAAACATTCTAAATGTTGGCATTTTGAAAATGCCATTTTCAAATCGCGCACACACACACACACACACACCAATGGCTTGTGATTAATAATAATAATTTATACGACTAATAAATTAAGCAAAGTATGTATGTATGTATATATGTAAATCCTACTAAATATATGTTCATAAATTACTATCTAAACTAAATGAATGTGTTTCGACCAAACTATTTTGCTTTATAGACTGTAAGTAATTTAACAATATGTAAATGTACATATGTTTTGTATAAAACGATAAACAACGAGGCTTATGCCATTGTATATATCGCTGCCTTAATATAGAAAGGCCCTATCTGACATCGTCGCTGATATACAAAAAGCCGTAACTAACTAAAAATCGAAAATTTACGTTTTAATTGATTATGATGCATTTGATCGCATTATATGGCCCCAAATCGTTTTATGCAATAAAAGATTTTAGTTAGTTACGGCTTTGTGTATTTCAGCGACGATGTGAGATAGGGCCTTTCTATATTAAGGCAACGATATGTATGTATGTAATTTGTAATTAAACTGTATTTGTAATTGATAAGTCGTTAAACTGATATAAAATGATTTATTATACTTACATAAATAACGCTGTATGATTATTTTCAAAATAATTAAATGAAAGTAAATTCAACAAAATAAATAATTTTTGTTTTATTTTAAGAATTGACATAGACAACTTAAAATAATATCGAGCGCTAACCGCCAAAAAGACGTAAGAGACTTTTTTTAATTTCGTTTTTTTTTTTAAGCAGAAATGTATCTAGATGCCTTAGGAATGTTTCTGCATCAGAAAGAAAATTTTTTAAAATAAAAATGTCGCTGGTACGAAATGATCCTCCTTTTACCGCCCATTAACTTAATTGCGGTGATTTTTTGGGGAGAGCTTTGTAGATGCGCAGATATACATATTGGCGATACCTGACTACAATACTGCTTTGGTTGGAAAAGAAAGACAAATGAAATCTAGTCGAAAAACGTTGGCAAAATTTCATAGATGAATATAAAATGGCTAATAGATACAATGCTCAATTTTCTGCCATGAATTAAACATCAAAACGTCATTTTATGCCTGGTCAGAGGAGCTATGAGCACCTGCCCAACGGACGCACTTGGTGTCATTACAGGCACTCCGCCACAGACTCTTCTTATTGAGAAGGAGGGCAGCTGGAGCGCCCTACGTCTGCCCAAAACAATTAGCATGAAAAGGGGTCACTCGGAAGTTTTCAAGCCAGTGCTGGATAATCCTGCTATCAAGCTCACATACATCATGCTACCAGAATTATCCTTCTACAAACCCTATAAGGTCAGAATTCCTCAAATGGACTGCTGTGAAGCGGATAGAAAATGGACGACGAGAGCATTGCGACAGGCGTACTTGAACCAAGATTCCAGAAAAGTCTGCCAATGGGCACATACCCAACCATATTCCAGGCGGAAGCCTTCCCAGTCGAAGCCTGCGTTCGCGATAAATATTATTTTGGATAACCAGGCAACATTAAAGGCCTGAAACTCATTTAGAACGGCATCAAGGCTTGTGGACAATTGTGAAATTCTTTTGAACCACCTAGGAACTTAGCCAGGAGGGTCTTAATTAGAACTCTTACTGGCTACCTGACAGGGTGCCATTTGAATGAAGTGGGGCTGGTTTTGTGGACTGGTGGATGAAACTCCAGAGCATAGGCTCTGTGACAGCCTACGTATGATGAATTGCAGACTGATACCTGATACACCTTGGGAAACGAGTATCTTCTCCATCTAAAATATGGAATATGGCACCCGCCAATGTGCTTAATTTTTTAAATAGCCTAAGGCTGGAGTGATTACAATTAGGGTTTGGCACAATAGATCTTTTTAGGTCGCAGCACGAGAATACCCGACGTAATAAGGAAAATAATGAACATCAGGCGACCCCCTGGAGCAATATTTTTCATACGGAAATGCTTGCTATAGAGAAATCGATGCGATTGTCAAAAGGGGTCTAACTTTTACATAGGAAAATTACATGCTAAGACCTTCTATGTAATAACTTTGAAGACTATATGAAAAGGTGAGCAAATCCGCAATCCGGGTCGCAACTCTTCAGCAGCTCATGCTAACTACCGTTGACATACTCACCCCAATTCTGAATATTCCGGGGGAGTTTGTTCTCCGGGAATTTGTTTCTGTCGATAAAGTAATCTTCCAATAATTAACTCCCAGGAAGTAGAATTTTCCCCGAAAATTTGGGAGGAGTAAATTCGAACTTCGAAAAAGCTGTTAGACATTTTTTTGACAGCTCAACTCCATCATTTGTTATAAAAAATCCTCAGGGATTTTTTATTCATGATAGGAGGAAAGGGAAGAGAGAGAAAACTCCCAGGGAGTTTCTGTTCAGAATCTGCCTGACTATGTAGCCGTGCAAAAAAACACAAGGGAAACCCTAATGCATCGCCTATACTTTAGCTCCTGCATTGTCAAATACTCGATGAAATGCTTGGGACCTTTCAATTAGAGAAGTTAGGCGGCATCTCAACTGGTTACTACCATTACTAAAATTTGTAAAAACCTCGTTATATTCTTAATATCTGCTTCAACTCATAAGAATCGGACTCCATCTGGTAACGTTAAGTACTCACCGGTCTAAGTGTGGCTTGACGCCAGCGAGTTTAACCAAATCTAATGTTGTCTTGCTTTTAAAGAACTGCTAATCCCGAAAATGTTGGGTTCCTGAAATTTTTGCAAAGAACTTCATGCTATTCCATAAACTGTAGCTCTGCAGCAATTATTGGAGTTTGAACACACCCCACAAATATTTGCACAGTTCTGCGGGGCAAAATAAGTCTTACAATGGATGGGTTCAGAAGGCGCAACAATTGAGTGCAACCGTTGGTAAAAAAATCAGTGATCGTTATGCGTATTTTGAACGGCTTGATACATTAGCTGTCAAATTGAACTGTCAAAACATGTTGTCTCAAATGATCAGAAATCTAACACTCAACTGTTCAGTTGATCCAGAAGTACACAACAACGCGTTCAGAAGGTGTATTTGCAGCATTAGCAAAATAAAAAGAAGTTACATTTCAAGAAATTTC